TCACACACAAATAAAGCCTACAAGGAAACAAAATGATGTTGAAGGTAAGTTCTGCTGAGGAGGCACTACCATTCTCACTGCTCATAAAGTAACAGCTGCTCAGTGAAGACCACGGTTTTGTTCTGGTTCTACTGGCTCCATCACACTTATTGAGTATTGTTTATGATACCAGGTATTCGGCAAGAAGGCCACAGTGATCTCTACTTCGTGATCTTAGTAACTGTTACTATAAAATTTATTTATTTATTTATTTATTTGTTCATTTTCCTCTCCCTTCTCAGAAAGGTGACTCAGGACATATGCATTTCTGACTGTCTCTGCTCCCAAAGACCCGACTATAAAATAAATGCCCATTAGGAATCTCTTCTCAGTTCAGATCAAAGGACAGACCAACTGTATATCAAATCATCAACACACCAACTTGGTCTTCTCTCTGATCAATAATGCCATCAGTCTACCATTTAGTGAAAGGAATTTTAACACATCCTGCTGTTGAACCTCCTAGTATCATGACCACTCCATCACCAGAACCAGAGATTTCTTTCTCCATCTATTCTTGTAATATCTCACTGCTAATATCCTAAGTCTTCATAACTTCCCTATAAAACTAATCATGAAGTCAGGTGATGGTAGTGCATGCCTTTAATTCCAGCACTTGGGAAGAAGGGGTAGGTCGATCTTTGTGAGTTTAAGGACAGCCTAGTCTACAGAGATTGCCCCAGACTAGCCAGGTTACACAGAGAAACCCTGTCTCAAAAAACTAAAACAAAACAAAACAAAACAAAAAAACCCTACAAAATAACCATGAAAACCAATTCTCTGCTCAAACAAATGAACCCTCAGTGATACCTGGGTACTATGCAAAGTATTTTATGTACAATTTCTTATTTAAACATAAGAGACCACATGAAGGCATAACTGTACTTTTTTTAAAAAAAGCGGCACATGAGAGAAAGACATCATGTGACAGAGCTCAGGTGGAGAGGTTTTTTATTGGGGTAAAGTAAATAAAAAAGTGGGGGGGGACCAGTCTCTGGGGGCAGAAGTGGCAGAAGAGGAAAGAGGAAGAGAGTGAGAGACAGAGAGACAGGCACAGAAGCAGAGAGAGAAACAAAGAGACAGGAGGTGGGCGAGGCCCACTCCTTAAAAGAGAACATGAACAGGAGGTGCCCTTAGTGACTGCAGCTGAGGACGCATCCTGTCAACGGCAGGCTAACGCAGCTGTCTGAATACAAACAATAATCACCATCCTCATTTTTGGATGAAATTTAGGAAGATTAATCGTTGTCCATCAAGGGGTGGATCAGGAATTCCACACAGGTGGTTTGTCTATAGTCCATATTTGAGATCACCAGTTACTCCATTCAGTACAATTAAGGCTTTGACTTTCCTCATTCTTAAAGACCATCCTGAACATGCCTGCCTCTGTGACATCCTTATTGCTAAGTGAGACTAATACAGCACAGTTAAGAACTTTGGGCTCATAGCCAGGTATGCTGGCACATACCTATAATAATAGTACCTAGGGAGTTCACATCTTCAGATATATGTAGAGTTCAAAGCCAGACCAAGTCTCAGACATTCCCCTCCGCAGTGTAGCTCCACTCTAGTGCCATGCCTACTGCCTGCCTGTATGCTCCCCACCATGAGGACAACGGATCCTCTGAAACTATAAGCAAGCCCGCCAGTCAAATGCTTTCTTGTATAGGTGCCTTGGCCATGGTGTTATCCCTTCACAGCCATGGAACAGTAAGACAGGTGCCTACCATGAAAAACTGGGATGGTTAAATAAGATTATAAACAAAAAATAGTGACCTGTCTCACAGTAAACATCAGCCAACCTAAACAAGATGTATATTGCCCCTTGCATTTTCTACCTTTCTTGTTACCTATCCCCGGGGGTCAGAATTTCACACAGCCCACAGCAATTCCTTCTTCTGGATGCCTAGAATAATTTACTCCCTTAGTATGGAACTACAAATTATCTTACAGTTTAATAGAAATATCATTTAAAATGCCCTGCAGGAGCTGTTATAAGCACAAGAATTTTCTCCTTTCAATCCTCAAACTCACAGAGATCTGCTTGCCTCTGTCTCCCACCGTGCCTGGTTACATTAGTATTTTTAAGTCCCTTTGAAAAAAATCCATTGAAACCTGAATTTGACTTCATAAGACCAAGTTTAGTGAGTAGTTCATGTCTGTAGTTAAAAGTCATCCTCAGTTACATAGTAAGTAAGTTCAAGTCCAACCTGGGCTACTTCAGACCATTTAAAAAATAAAAATCACTGGAGGGCTGACTGAGAAGCCAAGGACAATGGCACTGGGTTTTGATTCTACTACGTGTACTGGCTTTGTGAGAACCTAGTCTGTTTGGATGCTCACCTTCTAGACCTGGATGGAGGGGGGAGGACCTTGAACTTCCCACAGGGCAGGGAACCCTGACTGCTCTTTGGGCTGGAGGTGGGGAGAAATGGGGAGAGGGGGAGGGAAATGGGATGAGGTGAAAATTTTTAATAATAATAATAATAATTTAAGTTAAAAAAAATAAAAATCACTGGGCGGTGGTGACCCAAGCCTTTAATCCCAGCACTCAGGAGGCAGAGGCAGGTGGATCTCTGTGAATTTGAGGCCAGCCTCATCTACAAGGCAGGTTCCAGTACTGACTCCATAACTACTGAGAAACTCTGTCTCAAAAAACCAAAAAAATAAATAAATAAAAATAAAAAATCATTAATATAAAAGATATTTTTACAAAAACCCCAAATACTGGGAAAAGTATACATTTCATAAAATAAGAAAATCAATGTGATATGAAAGAGGAATGAAATGACCCCAAAGTGTTATTTTTAACTATAAAATTGGCAAAATTTAAAAAGGAATAATTTCCCTAACTCTCAAAAGGACTGAGTTTTGTAAACCAAGTTACTAGCAATGAGAACAGAAATTCTCCCTAGGAGGTAATGATTAATCTGTAAGTCAGGGCCATTGCCCAAGGTGCAAAAGGCCCAGGCTTCAATCCCTGCACCTCTCTCCATGAAGAGAAAATTCAGAAGGAAAAAAATAAAAATAAAAATATGAAAATATGAGAATATTCACAGAAGCATATTTATGAGCAGCAACTTAAATACCATCAACAGACTTGAATAAATAAACTATTGTTAGTTGCTCACTAACAATAATGTAGGTCTGCTACAGAAAGTTGCTAGTATTGTTGGGGGGAAATGTATATAAATAAACAGCATACCTTATATAGTAATGCACATATGTAAAATTTAAAACTTCATGCTAGCCTACACATTAATAAGGAGGATATTTAGCAAAATATCCACATGATTATCTCTCACAGACATAGTTTTGGGATATACATCTTTAGTATCCTTTTATTTTTTCCAGTGATCACCTGATAACTTTATGCCAGAATGGCTTTCATAAGCTTCTCAGTAGAACTGTTTTCACAACCATCACCTTTTTTTTTTTTTTTAATTTCCGAGACAGGGTTTCTCTGTGTAACTTTGGAGCCTGTCCTGGAACTTGCTCTGCAGACCAGGCTGGTCTTGAACTCACAGAGAATCCGCCTGCCTCTGCCTTCCAAGTGCTGGGATTAAATGCGTGTGCCACCAACATCCAGCGCAATCATCACTCTTAGAAACACCTTTCACGTGCGTCATTATGTAGTATGACATATACTACACTGTGACGAACACATCCACTCACTAATGAAACGCTAGGTCACAGAATGTGCAACCATACTTGTACATTTAAGATTGTAAAGAGTGTGGTTCATGTGTCACAAGGTGGGGGAACACATTCTTCCACTGAAATAATTCGTATAATGATTTTTATCTTTTCTGGTGAACAGAAACATAACTTCAAACTGTAAAAATGATGAGCAGGTATGGTTGTGCATGTCTGTAACTCTAGCACTTGAGAGGCTGAGACAAGAACATCCTGAGCTTACTGCCAGCCTGGAATACAGTGTGAAGTAGGCCCCATCTTAATGACAACAACAACCTACCCCCCCCAAAAAAAACCCAAAAATTAACAGAAGATATTAAAGGCAACAAGCAACTCTCTAGTGGTAACTTTCTTTCATGGGTTACAGAGCGAGAAAAAGGTGAACAAGAAAGAAAGCCTAATGAACTGAGCGTAACAGGAAGCCAGCAGCCTTCCCTAGCTTAAGCTGGAGTTCGATCCCTGCACAGGGTACAGGAAAGACAAGGATGCCGACTTCATCATCTCGAGACGGGCAATGTCACACACTAGTAGACAACGAGTCATTTTCCAAGATGAATGGCATCCCCAAAACACAGGCTGTAGATGATAATAGAGGAAAGAGAAACGCATCCTCTTTAAGCCCAAACTCCTCTATTACATGAATCTAAGAGCACACTGAAAATGAGCATCAGCACAGACACTCCCTGGCTCCACAGAAACAACAATGCTGAGTGAGAAGGCAGGACACTGTGTCCCTCAGAGCTTGGTGGGAGAACACCCCACGGGTTCAGAGAAGGACAATGCTGTGAAGGATCTTCTGCTAGTTAGTTCTCCACCTCTCACCAGACAGCTGTGGACAATGGACACACCACACAAAGTCATTCTGTAGCCACTAGCTTTCCCATGTTCTGGGATTGTAAGATTTGTTTAAAAGTTTTAAAAAAACTCACATGGCTATAGGGGTACAAATAAAAACTAACTTTTAAATATTACCATTGCTGACATTCCTCAAAATCCTAGGGTTTTCCACCTTATGAAACAATGAATTTAGCAAAAAAAAAAAAACAAAAAAAACTCCTCTATAATGAAAGTACAAAATCTCGCTGCTAATAAAACCAAGGTCATCAAACACAGTGTACTCCTGGGGAAGCCTCTCCAAGTGAAATTCACACATAATGATATCAGTGTTATTATACTTAAGGACAAGGGATCAACTTCAAGACTTGTAAGAACGCCTTCTACGGGGCTGGCCTCTGAGAGACAGGGTGACATCTTGAGTCCATTACCTTTAGGAGGGAAGTATGACTTGCTCTCTGCTTTATGAGGCCAGTCTACCACGAGAGGTCCGAATCTGCGAAAGCTGGCAGTGATCTCATCTATAAAACAAAGAAGGGATTTAGCAAAGTGGAAAAAAAGCCCTACAATCATAAGAAACATAAGACATATCTTTTTATATAAAAAATGTTTTGAGGGACCCCCTTTTGCATTTACTTTCTTTTTAGGGCTTTTCTAAAGTATCTCTACAGCGATAAACCCTACAAAGGGAGACACCATTGTTAGCTCAATTATTTTAGCTCTTTTTTGACTTTTGACTGGAAGGAGAAGACTGTGACTTTGTAACTCCTTGGGTGGAGGTGGTCATTCCATCAGCAACAGTAAGAAATTTATCCTAAAGAAAATCTAGTTGACTGACAGTATTAACACAGATATGAGGACAGCTAGAGGAAAATGAGGCTGTGGCCATCTGCAACTTTAATGTTGTAAGTCTAAAACTATTTTTAGAACCTATAAGCACACACATCATGAAAGAGTTAAAAAAACCATGACTTATTTTGATTAGTATTAGAGCTGCACCGAGCAAGCCGGTGCTAGGAAGATTTCCATGGCACTTCCAACGCCTAGGAGAACTAGAGAAGTTTTTAAAGTTAACTTTGTCACCGTTTAATTTCATGTACATGTTCAGTGTGTGTTACTTGCTGGCTTGGAGAAAAGTCAGGGTCTGAACACAGTGCAGAGAAGTCAGCTCTTACAAAGTTCTTAATAAACACATACGGTACCTTCATCGATGTCAGGAGGAAGGCCTCCAACAAACACCTTTCTAGAGTAGCGTTCCACTCGCTCCCCATTCTGACATCGAGTGGGAGAACTTAAGCCAGAGGATAAAGCCTGATCGCCATGGCTGTCATCCAAGAAGGCGTCTTCAAAGGGAAAGAGAGAAGACCGACCTGAAACAAAGTAGCAGTTTCTACAATCAGAATGGCTTTCCTAGAGAACAGGGCCCTATCAGGAGCCCATTGTACCAAGTGAAGCAAATGAAACACAATGTACCTTGAGGTTCGGCTTTTCCAAAAGAATACTTATCTGAAGATTACTAAGTACAGCCATTTTTACACACAACACTGAAATGGTTGAAATAATATCTAAGGAGGAAGCACAAGCTGCATGTTTTCCTTGATAATTATACTCATACGGTCCCCATCGTGGCTACTAAATATATGTCCTTGGAGGAAAAAGTGTTTACACAGGGCCTCAACCCTAGCTGAGAAGTTGTCCCCAGTCGGTGGCTGCGAGGGGAGGGAGAAGTATCTTTCTCTGCAGATATGTCCCTAGTAGGTCAATGGACCCACACCCATGTAAATATGGGCAGCACTAGGTGGATGCTACTGGAGGGGCGGGCGGGAGAGATAAGATCAAAATACATTTTATGCATATAAGAAATTCTCAAAGAATAAAAATATTACATTAATAAAAGAATATACTGCTTGGCAGTGGTGGCTCACATCTTTAATCCCAGCACTCAGGAGGCAGAGGCAGGTGGATCTCTGTGAGTTTGAGGACAACCTGATCTATATAGTGAGTTCCAGGACAGCAGGTCTGTTTCACATAGAAACCTGTCTCAGGAAAAAAAAAAAGAATATACCTATAAGTATATTTTTGAAATGGGCTGGAGAGATGGCTCAGTGGTTAAAAGCACTGTCTGCTCTTCCAAAGGTCCTGAGTTCAATTCCCAGCAACTACATGGTGGCTCACAGCCATCTGAAAAGGAGATTTGGTTGGTGCCCTCTTGAGAAAGAGACCTGGTCAGTCATCCTCATCAACTTAGACTATGAAACCCAATATGGACAAGTTTATATGCAAGGCTGTCCATGAACAAAAAAATTTGAAATACATAGGACAAACAATGTGTGTGTGTGTGTGTGTGTGTATGTGCGTGTATTTCCCCAGATCTTTATCTGCTCTTGATGGTGACCTCAGGGGTATAGTTGTAAAGGCTGGCCCTGATGACAGAAGCTAAGGATGCCTCTTCTAATGGCAGGGCCAATGACACTTTTCCTGGTCTACACAGTGAGTTCCATGCCAGCCAGGGCTAGTGTTGCTGTCTCTCAGAAAAACAAACACAAAATCCCCACAGACTTATTTTCTTTTTAATTTTTTTTTTTTTGAGACGAGGTCTTTCTGTGTAGCCCTGGCTATCCTGGAACTCAATATGTAGACCAGGCTGACCTCAAATTCACAGAGATCTGACTGCTCCTGCCTCCCAAACGCTGGGATTAGAGGTGTGAGCCACCATGACTGGCAATTACTTTCAATATGGAATTTCAAAATAAAGCCCAAATTAAAAACTAATTTTTTTCTTGTTTGAGTCTATGAGTTCTGTAAAGCTTTCCACTAGGTTTTACTGTCTCGAGCGCTCTAGCTTTAGAGGAAGGTGGGAAGGAGGAACAGGGAAGAGAGAGAAGACAAGAAAAAGGGGAGGAGAGAGGAGGGGGAAGAGGAGAGAGCAGAAGAAGAGGAGGGATGGAGGCAGGAGAAGAAACAGCAGCAGGAAGAACAAAGGCAGACAGTAGAAAAGCCCATCTCTAAGATAAACCACGCCCTTCTAAGGAAACAAGTACACAAAGGCGCTCTCTCTTCTAGTCAATCCTTTTATTTCCCTGAAACCCAGGTTTTGTACAACAGTAGCCAACATTCAAAAACAGAAATAAATAGCCTTAGAAAAATGGTGACTATTTCTTTTATTAAAAAGTAAAAATGTTGCTAATATAATTGTGTTAAATTATGAGCAACCCAATGGTGTAGGAAAGGTACTGTTCAGAAGCTCGGAGTTAATAAATAAAAGGGCTAAGAGTGGGGATAGTGAGACATCAGAGTTTTTCCTTCAGTTCTTCCCAGAGTTGCTACAAAGACAGTTTGTGTCACTGTGCCACCTACTCTTCTTCAGCCTGCAGGGACAAACAACAGGGAGCACATTCTCATCCCTTGATCTTTGTTTTGATTACTGGGAGTAAAAGAAACAGCAGCAACTAGAGGCAAAATGGACTTCCCACAGACATTTTCTGACAGCAGCCAGGTAAACCTGCCATGCAGTCCACACTCTAAATCTTGTCTGCTCAGAGTCAGGCTCATGTTCCAGTCAGCCATTTCTACAGAACGTCTATTCCCACCTCTGAATTCCAACACTACAACTATGAGGTGTGCAAAGACAACAGGAGAAGAGGCAGAAAGCTCTGCCCTACCCTCACGAGAAAGCAAAATGTCGGTCTGTAGTAAGGAAGCATTAATTCCCTCCCAGCATTATCCAGAGCTAGGAAAGCAGAAGCCTTTAACTCAGTGGAAACTACTCCAGGGAAAAATGTATCCCTTTTCCAAGAGCAGCAAAGTCCCTCCTGACAAAGGAATCCCAGTCTAATGAGGGAACAGGCAAGCACACAGGTAACTACAAAATAGTAGGTACTGATAGAAGCCAAGTGACACAGTATGTCCCTCCTGTGGCATGCAAGAAGGCAGTTTTCAGAAGAATTTTTGTAGAGTGGGAGTTTGAGTGAAAAACCAAAGACTCATACAGAAAATACCGTCACATAAGCTCCTGATCTTAAATGTGTTCCTTCCCAGCATTCCCTAAAATGTCAATACAAAGGCCATTTGGGAGATGGCTCAATGGGTAAAGGGCCTGTCATAAAAATATGGGAACCAGGTCAGATCCTCAGCACTATACAGATGCCTGGTGGGCCCAGTGGTCCACCTGTAACCCTAGCATGTGGGAGGCAGACGTCGGATCAAGAAGGAGAATAATCAAGGAAGTCCCTTAACATTAACCTCTGGCTTCCATGAACCTGCACACATGTACGCACACATCCACACACCATGGGCTCACACACTACACATTACCCACACAAGCAAAAAACAAAGACCTTTAAACATACCCAATTCAACCCAGAAATTTAGCATTTAGCCTTGATATTCATTCTCTCTCTCCTCTCTCCACCCCTCCCTCTCTTTCCCCATATCAAATCTATTTCTCACTACCAATTCAAGCTTCAAAATACAATTTTACTTTAATTCCTGTTCATCACCAGTCCTAACGCCCTAATCCAATCACCACTTCTTGTCTTGTCTTGCATAGCTGCAGAAAACCTTTCCTCACTAATGTCTACCTAGAATTCAACTTGCTTTCCAGAAAAAGGGAAGGAGGAAAGGAGGGAGGGAGGAAGGAGGGGAAGAAAGGAAGAAATAAAGGAAGGAAGGGCCTGAAGCAGCAATTTTCCAACACTAATCTGAATATGTAACCACACCCTACACTCCTGACTTCAAAAGCTCCCAGTAACCTTCCACTGCCCTTTGGATAAAGTACAAAAACAGCACTCTGAAGGACAAAGTCCCCGACACAGCTGCTGCCGCTCCTTGCTCAGTGATCTCTCTAATCACAGGAGTTCCTTTGGGTTTCCTGATTGTCACCACCTTGTCACAGGTGCTAAGGACACAGTGTTCCTGCTAAGATCTAAGCGTTCCTTTCTCCAATCATAGTTAAGTCTTTCAAAAAGGTTTTGGATCTATTTATTCGCATTAGTGTTTTACCTAAACGTGTGTGTGTGTATCATACACATGTACCCTGGCACTCACAGAGGTCCTGAACTGCAGTTATAGATGGCTGTGAGCCACCATGTGGGTGCTGGGACCGTTGCATGAGCAGCCAGTGCTTTTTAGCTGCTGAACCATCTCTCCCACCCCATAGTTAACCGGTAATTCTTTCGGTCTCAGCTGCAAAGCCATCCTCTTCTGTGGAACTGTACTGACCTTTGAGATTGGGTACACCTCCTGTCCATGCAAAACACCCTATGCATCTCCCTCCACCTTCCCAGTTAGTACCACAGCACTTCTTTGGCTTTATAGAGTATATGTTCCTCCACCCATTAGGAAAGGGATCAAATTAAACTTCATTATTGTATCTCCTGCCAAAGAATATATTAGAGGGACCAAACCCATGCTAGATGTGATACACCACTGAAGGAGACAAAACTGTGTGCAAAGCTGTCCGTGGTGGTTCACTCTAGTAATTCCAGCACTTGTGGGAATGAGGAGGAGTTCAAAGCTAGCCCGGATTACTTTAGTGAATTCCAGACCAACCTGGACTACAGCATGAGACTATCTCAAAAACAAACAAAAGAAAACATGTACAAAGACATGCATGGTTCTGTGAGCATATATTCAATGAGTATAACACAGGGGTCTGACCACATGAGAAATGTGATCACCCCCTCGGTGTGACCTTAACTGAGGTGGCTTTCACCTGTGCAAGATTATATAGTCTATACTTCATATTAAAACCAATTTTCCGGGCTGGAGAGTTGGCTCAGCGGTTAAGAGCATTGCCTGCTCTTCCAAAGGTCCCATTCCCAGCAACCACATGGAGTTCAATTTCCAGCAACCACATGGTGGCTCATAACCATCTGTAATGAGGTCTGGTGCTCTCTTCTGGCCTGCAGGCATACACGCAGACAGAATATTGCATACATAAAATAATAATAAATAAATAAATAAAAATAAAACCAATTTTCCACTCCCAAATGCAATACTTCATTCTAATACTGACTTTTTTTTTTTAAATTTAAAGATAAGATCTCAGCCGGGCAGTGGTGGCACACATCTTTAAACCCAGCATTCTGGAGAGGCAGGAGAATCTCTGTAAGTTCAAAGCCAGTGTGGTTTAAAGAGCAAGTTCAAGACCAGACAGAGCTATACACAGAAAGAAAGCCTGTTTCTAAAAACCAAGAAAAAAAAGCGAAGATAGGGTCTCTTACACTCCAGCCTGGTCTCAAACTCTGTACAGAGGATGGCCTCAAGTTTTAAAAATTTATTTTCAGTATGTGAGGATGTTTTACCTTCATGTGATGATAGGAATCTAACCTGGGTCCTCTGGAGGAGCTGCCAATGCTCTTAACCAGAG